AAATTATTCCCCCAGAATTTGAGTACGATCAAACAGTCATTCTAGTCAAAGAAGTTGCAGAAGAAGGACATTGGGATGAACAAACTTTAAAAGAATTACTTCCTCAAGATTTGGCTGATCACATTTTACAAAGAATCAGTCCACCCAAGGACACTGAAGAGTTTGATAGACCTTACTGGAAATTGGAATCTAGGGGAAAGTTCACAGTAAGTACTGCATTCCAGAAAGTAAGACAAAAAACAGGAAATTAACAAGGTGTACAACCTCATGTGGATCAAAGGTATGCCTATCAAAATCTGTTTTTTCATGTGGAAATTGTGGAAATCCAAACTACCCCTAGATGATACATTGAAGAAGTGGGGAATTCAATTCCCTTCACGATGTTATTGTTGTGAAAATTCTAAAGTAGAAGACACTTCTCATGTATTCCTACACTCCCCCATAGCTCAAATGGTATGGAAGCACTTCTGTGGGCCAGTGGGAATTAACATGAAGAACATGCAGCTATCCCAAATTATTAATCGATGGTGGGAGATCGATGCACATCACCATATTAAGTATATATTTCAGGTTGTCCCTTCTATCATAGTGTGGGAATTGTGGAAAAGGAGAAACACACTAAAAAATGGGAAGAAAATCTCCAGTAACAAGGTGATCTATCAAATTATGCATACATTGATTCTATTCATGAAAACTAGGAGGAGAAATTGCACGTACATCCTATACAAATGGACAATGGTGGTAGAGGCTATTCACAACTATAATCCAACAGTAAAGGTAACTAGAGTTATTTGGGGACCACCAGATACTGGTTGGGTTAAAGTCAACACTGATGGAGCATCAAAAGGAAATCCAGGAAGAAGTTCCTGGGGTTTTTGTGTGAGAAATAATAAAGGGGATGTCATACAAGCTCAGGCTAAAGAGATTGATGAACCTTTAATTACTAATACACAGGCAGAAACAATGGCACTCTTACATGCTTTGAAGTACATAGAGACAGCACAACTAGACAAGGTGATTATAGAAACTGATTCTCTATTACTTAAAAACATTGTGGAAAGAGTGTGAAAGTACCATGGAAGGTAGTGAATATTCTGGAGGAAATATGGAGGCTAATGCAAGGAAAAACAGTGGTTATATCACACATTTTCAGAGAAGGGAACAAACTAGCCGATTACCTAGCTAACCTAGCTCTAGAGAAATGGACTGTTCAGGTGAATTGTTTTCAAGAATTAGAATCTCAAGGCAAGAGAATAGTGAACAGTGATAAACTAGTGGTACCATATCTAAGAATCCGACAATGCAGAAAATAAACATATATCAGAAGCAGGAGGAGGTGCATCAAAGGAAATTTGTTCCTCGGTTTCAAATCCTCAGAGAGGCGAATTATGAGGAACTGATTTTTTCTAATAATTTGCTCAATTTTGCAGGTACCAAGAAAAAAAATAATATGAAAATGGGCAAAAGCACAACAATAAGACAGGGACATACACACAAGTACAAACAGTGAGCCACAGTGGTAAACACAAAAAGCAAGCAACTCAAATAGAAGTGGTGGTTCATGCTACTTCTGAAAAATCAATGAAAAACAGGAAAACCCCAACAGACAGAGCTCATCCAATAGTCACAGGATCTCGACATAAAGTATCCAATTAATATGGATCACTGATCGTAGCAAACGATGGATCCCAACATCAATCTTGCAATTAACACACAAAAATGGAAAATGAGAATCACAACAAAAAGAAGAAGAAGAAGAAGAGAAAGAAGGGAACTGAACAAAGAGGCAAACATTCACTCAAAAGAGAAATGGTCCTTACCAGGACAAAAATCGGTGAGGAAATGGCTGACCATGGAGTTCTGGAGAGTTCCAAGAGTCATTTCAATTTTCACTTTAGTGCTTTTAGATATAGAATTTATTTGCTTTGTTTTTATTTTATTCTTGTTGGGTCAATTTTGGTCCATCTTTTGAACATAGCCCAATGGGCATTTCTTTAATAAAAATGGCCTGATGGCCAAAATTTGATAAAAAAATAAAAAAAAAAAAAAAATATAACATTTTGATCGGTATTAAACTTGATCAAATTTGCAATGCAACTTGATCACTTAACAATACTTTAAGGATATCTTTTTGTCAGAATAAAGTGTTTAGGGACATAATTTAAGTAGTGAGTATAATTTAGGGATGTTTTTGGCAAAAAAGAACTCCACTTATTAACTTGGGAGCCAAAGCGGCAGTATCTGCCGAGATTTTGAGGGAAGAGGGAAGAGAATAATTTTATATAAATACGAAATTGGGGAAGTAGGGACAAAGATTCTGAGTGTTGCCTCTCTTCTTAATCGGTGCAGTCATTTTCTGTTTGTGGCATTTACACAAACAGATAGCAGGTATTTTCATTCCCTCAAATCGGTGTTTTTTGTTTTTGATTTGATTTTAGCATCTTAACGTTTATAGGGTTTTTGGTGCTCTCCTGTTGTCGACATTGATACTGATACTGAAGAGGACCAAACATGTTTGCTTTTGATTGAGTGCTGTTCAAGTGGTTGATTTTTCTGTGTTTTCAATTTTCATTCATGACATTTGCTTTGCTTTGCTTTGTTTGTTTTGTTTTTGGGTGTCATGGAAACGATTTTGTTGGTCCATAGAAATATGAATGTGTATAGAGTTTTGGACTTTGTTTGATTGCAGAAAATGGCTAGTTTGGTGGAGAGACTTCGTGTGCGGTCAGATCGAAAACCTATGTACAAGTTAGATGAGTCTGATGATGAAACTGATACGATGCCTGGAAAATCTGGGACTAAGAAACAGGAAGTTGAGAAAATTGTTCGAACAGATGTGGTAAGTTGCTTGTACATTGGGAATTGTCTTTAACTATTTATATACTTGGCATTTTCTGTAGTAGGGTTCTTTTTTTTTGGATGTTCTTCTTCCCATTGAATCTACAACTCTAAATTTCATTTATAAATTGCTCTTGTATATTTGGTTGGTTATTGCTAATTCTTTTACCATCTCTTTGCTTGACTTTTTTAATTCCATAGTAGGGTTCTTTCTCCCAACTTTAGTATTGGTTTTCCTATGTTTACGTGTGTGTATCGTCTTCAAGAATCCATTTTCAGCTTCAAGATATGACTTAGACTAGACACGACTTGGGCTTTAGCTTGGTCATCATGGGGAAAGCCGTACCTTTTTTCTTGTCCGTCTGTCTGCTAAGTTAAGCATAGATAACTTAATCCAGCTTGGTGCGTATGCTTGTTGGAAGATAAATACATTTTTATACTGTTTTTTTTCCTTTTCAAATTGTTGGAATGGCAACACTAGAGTTAAGCTAAGTTTTGAAATTTAGCAATTTAATATGCTCGTCCTTTGTTTCATGGTGTTTGTGAAAGACTGGGATCGTAAGTTGATCTCTGGTTGCTTCCTTTCTGATCTGGTAAATTCCTTCTAATTGTAACTATTGCACCTTGATCTTCTATTAAAATACATGTCTTTGTTGGTGCCTCCTGATTTCTTTCAGAAGGATATGCACTAGGAGAATACATAAAATACTTGCAGTAGCAATAGGTAATGCATCCTATCTAGCGTCATAGCATCCTCCAAGATGAAGAGTTAGGATTACTCCCTCTTATGATATACCTGAGGACTTTCATGAAGAGGGGAACTGATTTTGAGGACTATCACGGTCGGCCAATCTATTAATTGTTTGGACCATCTGAATATGTACAGTCAAAAATAAAAGAACAGGCGCTCTTTCAAGGTTCACGGTTAATCGTGAATCTGCCTGGTAGTATGGAAGAGTTTTTGGCTAAAAACATCCCTCAACTATACACCAAACTTAAAATACATCCTTGTAATATCATAGTGAACAAGGAACATCCTTCAACTATTGAAAATCTAGCAAGTTTCACCCTTCTGTCAAGAACTGCTAGAAATCTAATAGAGCATTTCGAAACTCATGTGACACCACTATAGTTCCCCCATTTGCAACTAGGTTCTTTTTTTAATCATAGTCAGGTTCTTTTTTTAATCATAGTCAATCTTCTTCCTCCTTAAGCTGGTTAACCAGAAGAATCAACATCGATCATCTCTAAATATTAGCACTTCGTCTTTTTGCGGACGCCATTGAGTGCTCACAGTCAAAGAGCAGAAACAAAATGATAGATGGAAAATAGGAGAGTTCGTAGGGCGGGCCCATTATCCACCGACGGATTTCTCGGTCATCAAAAAAAAAATAAAAAAATAGGAGAGTTCGTAAATAGGTATTATAATGTGAATGAGACGAGAAATATGTTAGCAGCATTACTAGATGAAATATGCACAAGATGTTGGATTGACATTTCTGACACTTCTACGATTTTTTTTGCCAGAGCATATACATATACATTAGCATAATAACAAGAAGTTGTTAGCTCTTAGCTAAATTTTGATTGCTAAAAATAAAGAACCAAATTGAGATGGGAAAATATTTCATGTTTTAGTGGAGAATACATACACTGTTACCTTAATTGGTTTTGGATCATTATAGAAAAAAACCAACTATGCTTGCCATAGCCTTTAATTTACCTTCTTCTAATTGAGAGTAAAGACAGTGTGAACAACACATGTTCCACGTATGAAAGCAATCATTCTTCATGTTCTTGAGGGGTACTGGGTTTCAGTATCTGCATGTTTGCATGATTTGACTTTGCATGATTGCATCACAGATTTAATAATAATCGGGGAGGATGGGTATGGAAAAGGAAGCATACTTCAACAAATGAAAGTTAAAGTTCATTTTTCTGAGAAATGAGAGAATGTGGGTGTCAATGAAGTGTTCAAATCTGAGGAGTTTTTAGTGAATTTCATCCACTCCGTTAGATTTTTAACAGTCTTTAACTAATGGATAGGATTTGTTAATGTTTAGATATTTGAAGGATGTTTTTTGTTAACTATGATATTACAAGGATGTGCTTTAAGTTTAGAGTATAGTTCAAGGATGTTAAACTCTAATATGGGATGCATGTTGAGTTTTTTTTTGGCGGAGATATCTTGTAACTTGTAACTAAAAAGTGGAAGACTAACTTCTTTATCAAAAAAAGTGGAACACTAACTTGTGAATACTAAACAATAAACAATACAATAACATGCATTCCAAAAAAGAAACTGATACTTAATGTTCTTCTTTCTTCAACGGTGTGGATTCATGAAAGGAAATTTATTATATATAGATTGAGCATTTTTTCTCCTCATATGTTCAATTTCATAATCTTAGCTTCTCAAAGAATCATGTAGCATAATCTTGGGATTTATTTGTAATTTCTGCCAAATCCAGTTTTTGAGGTTAGATATTACAACAGAAACTCTTCTAAGCAATTCTTGTATAGTAAAGTTGATGAATGTGAAACTAAGAAGGCGTGTTTACCTTATCAAAAAAAAATTGAGGAGTTCCAGGCTTAGGATGGTCATTTTGGATTTTGATTAAACTGCCTCCAAGAAAAGTTTGTTTCACCTCATAGCCCAGAGCTTTCTTATTTTAGAAAAATCACAGTCCAAAGCTCTGGCTGCAAAAGTTTGTGGTTTAAATCATCTCTTCTGAAGATATAAAGTTTTTATTTTCTTGGCTTTTATTTGTGAACCATGAAATGTCTTCTAAAGAAACCTATAGTCATATATTCCAGAAGCTAGAGCTGGAAAATAAAGGAAGCTACAGAATTTATTAGTTTTTAGTCAAACATATATCATGCTCGGCATGATAAGACTGGCGGTAGCTGTTTTGATTAGATCCAGACACAAATGGGCTTCTATCTTACTTATCATAAAACAAATGGCCTTCTAATTCATGCTAGTGGAAGCTTAAGATGTACAAATTTGTACATGTGACCTGTACTCAAATGTTTTGTCTTTGGAAAGTAAAGTGTGATACTAAAGAAGTATAGAGAATGATTTGATTCAGAAGATGCAGCTGTCACAGGTTCATCTAATCTTAGTACTTGACATGTGGAAAATTCTTAGACTAAAAGTTTTAAGTGCATATAGTAATTTAGTGAATTATTTTGCTCCTATTCAATTTTGCAAGCATTATATTCCGTAGCAAGGTAGTTATAAATTAAATGAATTTCTGAAAACTAGATACTAGGGCACACGAGATAGTTGGTTAATTTTTGTGAGGCTTAATGCATATTTGTATCATGCCAATTTTGTAAAGATAACACCAGCTTAATGTGTATCAGTGCATATATTTGATTTATTATTAAATGCTTTTCCATGTTGAAAATATATTTGATTTATAAAGAATTACTACATGCCAAGGCACATCTGCTGTGTGTCCATACGTTAGATTTGGTTAAACTCTTATGAAAAATAAACATAAATTGGGAAAAAATAGTTAGAGTGGATAGTGTCGGAGACCGAAAGTAGCGTGGAAGTAAAGGAAATAACCAGTAACTTAATTTATTTATCTTGATCTTATAAAAAAGTAGTGTCCATTTTAACCTCCAATTTGTTTTTTATGATGGGTGTTATATGGATATTATTGAAGAGAAACATAACAAGTTTTGTAACTGGGTAACACCACGATTTTGTATATACTATATATACAAATTCAGATGGTTAGAAAAATCATTAAATGTTTCAGTTTCAGAAGTTCCAAGCATCTCTAGATACTGAGAAACAATAATGAATGTAGGACCATGTTTTGTGGATACAGTGAGATGTGAGTATATCTTTCAGTGTGTCATCTCTTACTATGTCTTCACTTTTTGTTTAATTTCTTTTTGTACCAATTTATCAATAGAAGAAACATTTCTTCACAAAGATAATTAATGATACTCATTACTTGAGACTATCCCTAGCGTGACTTTTTATGTAGCCAATATAGTTAAGATTCGGTTTGAATATTTCTTGACGTGGTCAAATGAAGTGTCTTAACATGTACTTTCAGTATGTGTAGAGGTTGTTAGTGGGCACATGTTGCCTTCTTGCAAGTGCCTGAGCTCCTGGACTGCAGCCAGGATTGGTTCTGCTCCTAACGTCAAATGTCCTCTCATACATT